CCCCCCACACCCCCATTCCCCCACTCCATCCCCACCCCACTTCAAGCATGTTTCGTGCATGATGCCGCAGCGACCTGGATATTACGTCCTCTCAGTGAATGAGACAATCGACGACTTGGTTAAATAAGACAGAAATGAAAATGGGGCCCAAGTCCGTTTAACTAAAAATAATCATATTATAATCTCTTTATCACTCAACAACTGTAGCTGTGAATGTAGTATCGGTTCATAGTATTAATTTTTGACCGATACGACCGAAACGCAAACATATTTTTTACCTACCTGTACTTGATATCTTTGTTTTTAATGCCGAAGAACTATGTGTCATTATGATACAGATAAACGACATTATTGTTGTACAAACTACGACTGCTTTTCCACCTCTGACAGTCGCATGTGATTGAAACAATAAGTAAATGTTTTACGAATCCATCAACTCGCGCGAAGTAAATCTTATGAAGTTGTGCAGGTTTAACGCCCTTTGAAACAGTGGAAGGTTGCTTTAAAGGTGGGACCTCCAAATAAAATCCCACCCATTTCTGAAACAACAGAGCCAAAATGGGAAATTCGTGTAAATGCCTTTCTAAAGAACACAACGTCGTAGTGAGCTGAGCCTCGAACCTCTGCACTCGCAGTCTCAGAATTACGAGACTAGTGACCCTACCACGAGACCACCAACGCCGCCCCAATCAACACAGTTTAGATAATTGTAGGAGGCAGGCTGCTTCGGCTCTACCTGTCAGGGCAAGCCCGGACTGAGAATGGCACAGTGCTCTAGCACAAAGGCGAATAAGATACTTGTTAATAGGTCTAGCCTAGCCACACGGGGATCAAACTCACGCCCTCTGAGTGTGACGGCGAAGAGCGTAACCCGTTACACCACAGACCCCGTTCAGCTGTGGGGAGATGCCACAGCTCTTGTTTATTATCTTACCCCCACGTCCTTCCAACACTTCGTACAAATCCCGAGCTGAGTTTTATTTTGTCTTAATTCCAATTTCCGAAATGTGTCTACCCTTGAAAATGTATATATATACATAAATAAAAGATAGATAGGTCCCCATGACAGAGTCCGATTTCTGGAGCTGACTTTTTTTTTTTTTTCAACGTACAGTTTTAGGTGTATCCTCGTATTTATGGTAATTATCATTTAATGCACCCAAAACACGCATTTCTGCTCTTGAGACTCAAAAGAGAACGAACATTGTAACTTGACTGGTTATTTCGCTAGACGTGCTGGAGTCGGCAATCCTAAGTTGTAATTTATTTTTTTTTGTACAAGTGTGAATGAAAAAAAATCTATAAAAAAAACGGCACGACAAAAACTGTCGAACTTTTGGAACATGAAAGAAATAACGTTTGTGCAGATACTAAAAAAGATGGTG